ATGGACTCAGAACTGCGTATACATGAATTGACAAGAATTGTAATGTACTTATATAATGCTCGTTATGTTTTAACTGCGAAAAGAGATACTACTCGGAGAAACAGAACTTGTATCTATAGTCTTGAATGTGAAACGGAAGTTCGATGCGAAATTGAAATTGGCAGGGTGATTTTCATCGCGATCGGAATCTCGAATGTGTACCGGGGATCTAACGCACTCGCTCGCAAGGACAAACGAAAGAGAGAATGCGGCGAACCGCGATAAATTTGGCTCGAAACGTAGTTATCGTTGCTGCACTACCGTGATTATTTTCATTACGGTATACAACGTGGCCGATCGCTATCTACGGCTTCCCACTGTACGGCGAGGCTTAGATTTCATGTTTTTTTCTTAATGATTTGAGCAATTAGCCACGCTGAATGCCCTGACTTCTCGTTCCAGTTCGCTCCCTCGTCTCCTCCCTCTTCCTTTTGCTAGTCGGGAATTCGCCAATGAGTCCTCCGCCGAGGACGAGCATGAGGGAAAAATAATGGCGTCGACCGGCTTATTATCGCGTCGAACGACGCGCGCTCGCGCGTTATTATCTGCCGAGCGAGTAATTAGAGGAGAACTGCTCGTGTACGGGATGTACATGTACGTGGAAATTGGTGGCATTGCCGATTACGCGTATAGTAATAGCGATATTACGCGAATAATTAGCGAGATTGCGGCGTCGATTGCAAGCAACCGGAGCGAATAACGCAGCTAAGTCAACCCGATGCGGGATATCAGAATCAAGATTGTTCTTTTCTCGAGCTTGTTCGATAAAAGTAACAATAATAGGATAATAATATTCTCACGTGACGTTCTGACGAGAGAAATTACGCGAATAATTAGCGGTACCGCAGCGTCGCCGGTTGCAAACAGCCGGTCCGAATGACGGCTTGGCTCGCCTGCAGGCTCAGGTGGCTCCGCTCTCTCGAAGTTTCCATTGTACAGCGTACAAGGGTGCATACATTACTTTTGTCAGGCCTCCCTATACTCTCCTCGCAGCACCCACACTGCGAGTCGCGGCAGGTGTTGTTTGCCGTATACCCTGTGGCCGAGTCCTCGTCGCGCTCACGCTATCCTTGAATTTATCGCCCGTGAAAACTCGTTTTCCGCGTGCAACGTGACGCCGATTATCGCCGGGGTCGTAATCGGGAGTCTCGCGAACGCGTTCGCGTCGCGTTGCCCAATGGCAAAGATCGTACTGTGTTGACAGTAATGTAGTATAGTAGGTATTTCGAAATCGTTACACGCATACATAATAAATACATACATTCGATAAATTGCGAGGAATGAATTAAAAAATTTGTTCTTTATTGTAGATATTTATTTCTGCATCTAAGTGAAAGATTTTTTTATAGAAAATCGCAAATTTTTTATCTGATATCTTAATAATTTTATAGCTTAAATCGGTTATATTTGATTTTATTTTAAATAATATTCTTATGACATGAGTTTGATTTATATTATATCTAGGATTTCAATCGTCATACATTTACTTTCATATTGTTTCGAATAATATCATGATTTCTTGATGTCTAAAATTTTTTCTTCATTTTCTAATTTTTTTTCGATCTCTCTTGTATTAATCTTCCCAGTCTAAAATAGGTTTAGTAAACCTTTAATCTTTTGGTCTAAGCTCCAAACTATAACGTTTTTTTTTTCAGCTGAAAGTATTTTTAGCGCTGTCTTAAGCCGTAATCCCTAAGCTAAGTAAGTTGGTCAAATATTAACTGTAAAGATTAGAACTTATTGTTAGAGCAAATTAACGTCGCAACTCGGAGTTTAGAGGAAAAGACTAAAAGATTACTACATCTACATTGTAGACCGGAAACTTAACTCTCCGCGAACCAGATGGAAAATCAACATGGATCATATGTGGAATATTTCATATCCCATGCTATATTTCATCATAAATATATTTCTGAAATATTAATTCAATTTAATTGAATGTATATTAGTTAGTAGTTCAACATCTTAACACTCGGACCGGGAAGGCGCTTTGTATTTAAAGTTTTAATATAATATTATAATTTAATATGGTTAGTAACGACGCACTCTCCAGTTGCACGAAACCGGTAACTTGAGCGTGATACTTTTTAAGAAATTATATAAGTTTATCTTACTGGAGTATGTCACATCCCATCTGATTAGCGGAAGGTTAACACTGTTAGGCTATAAATATAATAAAACGTGACGGTACCTCACGGGCACCGCCATGGGAACACTTCGCGGTGTTCGCGTATTTCGCCGTGTTACGGCGAACTCGCCGTTTTATTTAGATTTGATTTCAGTGAAAAACCCCGTCGCGTACGTGACGGCACGTATCGCGTCGCCAGGCCCGCCTCCGACGTTCCTCCGCCTTCTTTCGCTACCGTTCGTTCGTTTCGCGATAGGGCGATTTCGCGGCTATCATTTTATAGTGGACGCCATCGAGCTTGATGTCGAATCTGAAGTATTGCGTTGAGAAAATGAAAGCGATCGTTCACGAAGTGCATGAAAACGCATAACGTTTGCGAAGTTACGAAGCTTCCAATTTTTAAATAAAGTAGTGATAGTGCGATTTAATAACGATAACATCAATTATCTGTTAAATCTGATGCGACGTTGTAATCGAATGTTTACGATAAAAGTATTCGATTTTAAAGTTAAGTTGATAATTCTGTGATGTTTAATATTGTGCATCAGCTGAATTAGCGATATATACGTGTAATATTAATGAGAGTAAGATAATTTATCTGCGTGTAATTGTTTTCTCCTCATTTCTTTCATATTGCGTTGCGGGATTTAAACGTTGCACGCGAGATGATTAAGAAATCTTTATACCTTAGAGAAATTTATTAGCAATGGCATTCATAATGAAGAAAGCATAAAACAAACGCACGCGATAGACTGTTTGAAAGCCAAGGTTGCGTACGAGGACTATTCGTTCGTGTTTATGGAAAGTAAGTCGATAATGAAATTAAATGGAAATGTGTTCTAATCCGAGTGATATTCATCATAAAAAGTCTATCCAATTTCTTCGATAGGCGTGAAAAAATGATGTATGTTCAAGCTTGTCGTTCGAGAGTGTAACGAGGTCTCACATAGACATCTTTAGAGAAGTGTATGCCACGCGCTATTTGTTTTATTTATCGTAAATATGTCGCTAAAAGTAAAGATGATGTAATGATGAAAACGAAGCAAGTGGAAAAAGAAAGGAAGGAAAAGGCATGAGAAGATAAGAAAAGAGGAGGCGGATGGAAGGAGGAAGAGAGAGGCGAGGCCTAATATGGCCGCCACGTCCTCTGCATTCCGGTCGTAGACGGTGAAGCGAGTAGCCGAGCAAGCGAGCGGTCGGGCGCGGCTCCAAAGGCGAGCTTTCTCAATGCCAGTCATCTTCCGGAATGCGCTAGTACGCGTATTTCGTAGTTTGTATTCTCGCATCGCGCACGGTGCACGGAAAGGCCTTCAGTAAGCGCGAGTCTTCAAGGAGGATACCACAGGGCTCATATATAGCTCGACTCGCCTGCGCTGCCTCGATTCTGAAACGCGCGCTCGAGATATCGCTTTTCGCCTAGCCAATGTGCGGCCATTTTGAGTCCTCAAGGCGCCACCTAGCATACGCATGTTCGCTTTGCCGTCACCTGATCGTCGGAAGAAGGTCATCACCTGACGGTCGCGATTCGTAGACTGTCGTGGCGACGCACCCGATACTTTCGCATTTTTACTACAATTCTTTTTTACCTTGATTGAGAAACGTACCTCTTTATTATGACTGCAACTGATAGAACCTCGCTGATAATAAAACGGCAAACGTTAACTTTGCCATTTCAAATCTCATAAGAATCTCATGGCACGTGGTCGCGATCGCATGTTCGAACACGTGATCACCTAGATTAACCCTGTCACTTGTGGGATGAGGATAGGCACTTTGAAAATTCACTGAGAGATTAGTACTCCGTAAGATACGTCTCGAGAGCACGAGCGCGATAACAAGGACGAGGACGAAGACGACAGCGACGATGACGACGGCGTTGAATTTACCGGCTGCGAGACGAACTACGACGGGGTTCCTAGCAGACAGGGAGAGGAATACGAACTAAGGGTTCTATATCCATCCGACGAGCGACGAGGAGCCGGGCCGAGTCGAGCATAGCATAGGGAGCAGAGCAAGGAACACTGGCACCACTCCTGGTAGGGGTAGCCGACGTCCGTCCCGAGTCTTTCCTCATCTGCAAGTCGTATAACCGAGCTAATTATCAAGTTAATATGGCCATTCTGTATGGAACCCCGCGAGAGAGTGGGTGGAAGTGAGATGCTAGCAAGGGGTGGCGCACGGCGTGCGAGCAAGACGGCTGGAGGTACATTGATATTATAAGTTGCTTCAATCGCTGTATTCATTTGTAAACTAACCAGGCTAAATGTATTCACCACCGCGAGGCAGCGCGCCGATAGGCGGAGCCACGGGTACCCGGGCTACGACGGCTTCCTTCCTTCCTTCCTTCCTTCCTTCCTTCCTTCCTTCCTTCCTTCCTTCCTTCCTTCCTTCCTTCCTTCCTTCCTTCATTCCTTCCTTCCTTTCATCCATCTACCTTCCTACCCTTACGCCATCGGCATTGCTGACTATTCTCTGTCGTCCTTTTTAGTCAGTCTCGATAGCCTTGTTCTTTGATAGTCACTATCATCATTATCATTGTTTATCGGAGTGCGCAGGTCTTAAGTTAGACACAATCCGTAGGAACGATTTGCAATCATTTTGTCGAAGAATAACAATATAATATATATCTTTGTTATTGTAACTTTTCTTTTTTTCTCTCTTTATTGTAAATTTGAGTTTTAAATATCACATTAATTTCAAATAGATATTGTAGTTTCTGCTTGCTGAAAATAAATTACTACTGAATCAATATTTTGACACATATAATTTTTTGGAATAGCTCTCTTTATATGGTTTTTTCTCCCCCTTAAGAGTTGAATATTTCGCAATCGCAGCTTGCAGACTGAAGTGGTGTCGTAACAAAGTCGAAGAACGTTCATCGGCGCTCCTGCGGACCTGCTTCTGCCGATACAGCTACCCTGAATCTGGCGAACGTTCTGCGAGAGCGGAGGCGTACGCACTCTGTCATTACGTTTCATATATTCAGATTTTTTTCTGCGAGCGGAGCTAACGCGGGCGCCGGCGTGTATTATTATTCCGAAGCAACTTTACGCCCACCTCTTTCGTTTCCCTACCTTCCCTCTTCTTCGATGGCGTGGAGCATGTTGTAGTTCAGGCGCTCCTATAACGACGAAGACGACGACAACCAACGTCGACGACGTCGTCGTCTTACGGTTCGTCTCGAGAACGAAGACCGCGGAAATATGAATGCATAAATGCATAAGTGCTCCCACTACCACTCTGTCGTAGGCCACCACCATCTGATCCTCCCGCCTACTTCATTCGAGTCGTGATTCCGAGTTTCTTTTCTCGAAGACGCTTTCTGCCCTTCAACCTGCGCTCGCTGGAATTTCTCCCATTCGCAGGTTGAATTTTCACTTTTGCATCAGTATGAATTCGGACAGTGAAAAGTACTGAATGTTTTACCTTAAATTCCAACAGGAATATTATAGAAACGTACAAAGTAAAATGATAAGAAAAAGATGTCTCCTCTCATTCATATGTTCAAGAAAATTTATCACGTTTTTATTTTATTTTATTTCCGTTTGAGTTTGCTCTATTTCTGTAACCACGCGCGAGGACTTACATAGGACCTCTAGATTTTCTACAGAAACAGTATTGTTATGATGGTACGAGCTCATGTTCTCCAAAGTAAATAGCACGCTTGCACGCTCTCAGATTGTATTCTGGTATTAGTTGGGGGATACGAGCCTCCCTCTCTGAACGAAAAGAGAAGACGCACCGGTGGTGCCACGAGATTAAAAGACAAATTAGCATAATGTGTGCCTGCGCGTTCCAGGCCGCCCTACGAAGAATTACGAGGATGGTCTGCTCGAATACTCTTCTAGTATCTCTGCATGCACTACGACTCTCATAATAATGTCATGAATCAAAATCCTTTTTTTATAAGCTGTATACCTTCTTTACCTTAAAATTATTGTTAAAAATAGTTGAATTATATAAAATTAAAATTTAATTAATTTTTACGAATCATTCTTAAAAATATGTTGTTACTTTTCTATTTAAAATTAATTTTTTTTTTGTATTAACTTTAAGACTTTACTGATTTTGATTACGACGGCGACAGAAAAACGATTCTCGATCCGAGTGCTTTCAGCGTGCGAAGTATAACGCGTCGCTATCACAGCGACGGCTCCGTTGGCGAGTTTTTAATCAGGCACAGAGCAACGTGCTCGTCTCTGTCTGGTCGGCAACCAAAAAGGACCGTCGACCGTCGGCCGATGTAGAGAGGGAGTGGGTGATAGAAAGGGGAGGCATGCGGGGGATGTTGGCGGCGATGCAAATAGCGCGTTTAATAAAGTGTCGCGCGGCTGCCATTTGAATATTGTAGCATATTCACTTTTCTCATCGAGTCCGCGCGAGGAGGAGACGGAGGGTCGGCAAAGGGATGAGGAAGAGAATAAGAGAAAGAGAGAGGGGAAATGTGTGTGTGTGTGCGTGTGTGTGTGTGTGTGTTTGAGAGATATGGAGGAGGAGAATCGGGGAGCCGAACGGTAGCAAAGAGAAAAGCGTAAGAAAAGGCGGGGAAAGTTGACGGAGAAAATCCGCGGCCAAGGGAGGGGAGGGCGAAGATCACCGTGATGTTCACTCGGTTTGTATATACACGCGCACACACGTGTGCGTGTATACATGCAGGCAAACGCGTGTACGAAAACTGTCGAGCGAAAAGAGAACGGCGAATCGCACCTTCTTCGCTTCATGCATGATTCAGCCGCAGTATCTCATTTCATCTGCTGCCTCCTCCGCTAAACTATATCTCCTAATGGTAATGCCATTCCGCGGCACATATCTCTTTATATTACGTGGGCTGCTTGGCTGACTGGCTGGTTCACGGTTTCTTGGCTTGGATATATCCCGACGAAAGTGCCACCACCACCAAGCCCCTTTTCCACTCCTGTGGCTCGGTGTTCTAGCACCCTATCCTCTCAGACCACGCTTCGCCTTCCTCCCGTTTACCACCTTCGAAAAGATCTACCCTTCTAGGTGCGAGCGGTGCCCCCCCCCCTCCCCGGTGTGTATACGCGTGTACGTGTGTTTGCACGGCATGTCGGTGTGTTCGTAGCACTCGGCTGGGTGAACGCGTTCGTCGTGGGCGCTCTTGAGCGCGCGGAGCATTGGGGAAGAAATAAAGAAAGAAATTGTTAGTTCTCGCTGTTTTAAATTACCATTTATTACGACACATAAACCCGACCTGGGCCGGGAAGTCCTACCAGCGGCCATCTTGTTCCACCCTCCTGTGGGATGGGTAGTCGGGAGATCGCAGAGGAGGCAAAGGCAGGGTCGAGAACACAGTCTATATCATCGTCTTTTGCTCTCCATCCCCGTAATTCCCTCCCTCTCCGCATCCCGCTTTCTCCATGTTTTCTTTTTCGACTTCTCTTTTTGACAGGGACGATCTCTCTCTACTTACGTGATCCTCTACTTTCTTCTTCAGGGTTCGTATATCTCTGTACTGCGCGTAGGGTTGAAACCCTCAGTAATGATCATTACCTCCGGCATAGTGACAAGTGAGCCCGGGGAACTGGCGCTACGACTGCAGGAAATGGCCACAGATAACGCTGTCACAGCCATTTTTATATTATGACGAATGGATCATCTTTCTTCCGTTAACTTGGTCCTATTGGGGCGCTGGGATCGCAAAAGGGAATGCGGGTGATAGATTTTGTGCAACTGTTTTGTGCTCTTCCAGTAAGTACTTCTCTTGCTATCGCATTAGTATGCGCTCGTTAGTTGCAGTGCAAATGAACTCAACATTACTATGGAATTTTCTTTCGAAAAATATTATAAAATATTAAAAACGATGTGTACATATTTTTGCCAGTTATTAAAAAACTATGCCATCATACACATTTTTAATATAAGAAAAAAAATTATATATTTGTCTTTTAAAAAGCTGAGAAATTAAAAATTCTACTTAATGAAAAATGAAAAATTGGGAAGAGAAAGGTGGATATTTCAGATAGATTTATAAAATTATATCTCAATAAAGATTTCAGCACATTCATAGAACTGCCATGCATTTAATAACATTTGTTTTTATTATAGATTGTATGATTCTCCATTTCTTCGTCGCAAGCGGCAATCATAAAGATCTCGACGAAAAGAAAAGAAAATATCCGATTCGATAATGTTCCGTTTCGGATCTCATGGCGCCCCCCGCCGATACGATGGCCTTTCTCAACCCCTCGCTACGCAGCAATAACGGCACCGGGCAGTCTTTCATATCGTATCGGGGCAGCTCGTCTATGTGGAAATGCGATCACTTAGAACCGGCCTTGAAGTATAATTCGCCTACGTCTACGTAGATCGGCGTGCCGGTCGGTTGCGTCCGTGTGAGCCCGAACAGATCTCGTATATTTTTTATTATTGGTCGATGTAGCCGATCCCCCGGGGGCGGAGGGGGGTGGGACGGATTGGCAGCGGGTAGGAGGTTTCGATAGCTGACCACTCGACTGGATGTGGATGCTACCGCTTCCTTCCCTCCTGCCTTGGCTCCTTGTGTGTCCTTTCCCTCATGTTCCCGTTTCCTCCACCATGTTGCAAAAGGAAGCCGTCCGAGTGGACGCGCGATCCTGTGTGTTCGTGTATATTTTTCGCTCGGTATACACCGTTCTCTCGTATGTTTGCGCGAGTGCTTCCTCTACATATATATGCGGCACAGTGGACCGCGTATCTCTTAGATCGAGGTCGTTTTATTGAGTGTGGACGGCAGAGAAGCGATTCTCATGTTTTTACATCGAGGCAATTTTTCCATCTCGCCCCGTTGCTTTCAAGAACACGGACTTGGACGTTCCGAGACCGCTGGCCGTCTGGCTATTTCTGCCCCTCTCCCTTTTCAGCGAGTTTCTCCCTTATAC